GGGATCAGGCTTTTTTATAGCATTTATGCGGAGAAGATTTCTCCGTCGTCAAGGCCCCATATAAGGCCCTATGCATCAAAACGGTTAATAGATATTTATAATTACGAATCAGATTTAAATAGTTACTATCTAATAGTAAGGTGCTATTAAGAAACTAGTAACTACTTATAATATCAGATAGTTACTATTCGTAATAGTAGAAGTAACTTTAATAGCCCCTAATATATAAAATAACTTTTTTATTTTCTATTAAATTTTTAAGATTTTTTTTTTAATTATAGAACGAAATCTGAGCTTTTAGAGAAAAAAAGGCATTTTAAATTTAGTCTTATAATTATTAAAGCGTAAGAAATTTAAATATCGCTTATTAAAGTTCGCTCGATAGCCAGATAGCTCTAATTAAAAAATAATAGATATATATTATTAATATATAGAATAACTTTTTTATTTTCTATTAAATTTTTAAGATTTTTTTTTTAAATTATAGAACGAAATCTAGGCTTTTAGATAAAAAAAGAATTATTAAATTAAGTTCTATAAATATTTAGAGATAAAGAATTTAAATATCGCTTATTAAAGTTCTCTCGACAGCTCTAATTAAAAGAAATAATTATGAATTTAATTTATAGACCTTTACTCGTAGTATAAAAAAAAAAAAAAAAGATTTCATCTTAAATGAAATACCGTAGTAACTCTCTTTAAAATATTCTTTTTAGAATATTCTTAACTCTTCGAGAGATATCTTTTAAGATACTCTTTAGAGGTTACTCTCCGAAGTACTCTTACGAATACTCTTCGAGGTATTCTTTCGAATATTCTTTCGAATACTCTCCGAGGTACTCTCTCGGGTACTCTCTCGGGTACTCTTTTAAGTACTTATAACGGATAATAACTAATACTACGATTAAATATTTTATAAAATTCTTCGTAAAAAAAAAAAAATTAAAAAATTACAGGACTTTCCGCGGATTTTCCCGCGATTTTTTTATTTTTATTTTTTTTTCGATTAATTTCTCGAGTTAATCTTTAAGAAACCCCTCGAGTAACCCTCTAATCGTATGGGAATATACTATACTTAGTATAGGCTATCTCAACGCTAAGACCACTTCAATACGAATTTTTTCAACTTTTTTATCTATTCACTTATATATATATATACTATAAACTATTATTATCTATTTTAGCCTCTCTAATTCTTTTAATCTTAATTAATTATCTAGTTCTTATTATAGTAGCCTTAAATTACTTAATCTTCTTATTTCTAAGTATATTATATACTCGAGACTCTTTAATATTTACTTACTCTAAAGCCTTTAAAGCCTTTTTTATCTTAGTTTTCTTATATATAATAATTTTAAATCGAGCCTGATAAGAGTAGATAATACCTCCCTTCTAAACCATCGTATTAAGCTCTACTTTACGAGCTACTTAAGCTATTATAGTCTATTAAATAATATTTAATTCTCGCTTAGCGAGAAGATTTAAAAGTATCTTCGCTTCTATCTCACGAATATATCTATTAAGCGATTAATTAATTAAATATATATCTTATAGTTCCTTTTTATATTATATAATTTGATAATAAGTATATAGTATTAATTAGTTTTTAAGATTAGATATCTCTTACTCTAAAGTCTCATCCCTTAGCGAAGAGTTTCTTTATTAAAATTTAGTTAAATAATTTAAAATAATAGTAGAATTATAGAGAAAAAGGTCTATTTCTCGTTATTTAGATATAATAGTTAATCTAATAAAGGTTCGATTATAAATTACTTGAAAATTAGCTAAAAAATCGAGTTTTAAATAATTACCGCTAGCTTAGCGTATTATAATATTAATTACCTCGATATATTAATATTTAAATAATTAAAAGATATCTATATTTAATAATTAATATAGATATAAAGAGTGTGAGAGTAAATAGAATAGAATAATATTATTATTCTTTATATATTTAAGTACTTCTCTAATAAGATAACTATTATAGCCATTAAATAGTAATAATCTATATATCCCTACACGCCTTCTCTTTATAAAATAATTAAAATACTTAATCCAGGCCTTATATAGATTATCGTTTACGTATCCGATATTACTAATACCCTATAGAGTATCGAGATTAAGGCTCTCTTAAAATTAATTACTAAGATATTATTTTTCAGTTAAAATTAGCATTAGGGGAAGCGTATAATCTAAGTTATTAATACACTCGATTAATATAATATACTCTCTATTATTTATATTCGTTTAATAAAGTAAAAATTCTCTTTCTTCTATAATAATCTATTAACTCTTATCTACTCTAATTCGAAATTTAATCTTATTAAAGTTATAGATATTCTCTATTTATACTTTAAACTCTTAATAGATACTTTAAAAATATTAAAACTAATTCTAAATAGCTTCTAATTTATACGTATTCTTTTATTAAGCTATAAGAGACTTTTATTTATATATTTTATATTAAGAATTACACTTTAAAAATCGCGTAGGCCAATAATTACTTATATATTTAATAAAATTAAAGCACTCGCGAAGTATAGAGTTTATAACTCTTTTAAGTATTAGACGATAATAAGATATTTCTAATTTATTAAATCGTTATATATATTAATAAAAAGCTTATTCTTTATAATCTATAAGCGCGTAAAAGTAATTATCTTTAAAGGGAATCTTATTATAGCGATTTAGAAGCTAATCGTAAAGTATATTAAATTTAATAATTAATCGAGTAACTTTAGACTTTATTTCGAAGATAATAGTAATTAAAGCCTTCTAGATATATTTCTAAATAATAATATATAAGTTAGATATAGTTATAATTATAGTAGATAGATAGAGAATAGATGATTTAAATTATTAAAAAAATTGATATTAGGGTAACCTTAGCGTTGGGGTGGCCCATACTAAGTGTAATATATTTCCATACGATTAAGTACTCTCTAAAATACTCTCCTCGAGTATCTTTAAAAATATATTCTCAAATACTCTTCTAAATCTCCCTCGAATACCCTCTAAAAAATCCTCTAAAGTATCTCTTTAAACTATTTCTTAAAAAAACCTCTTTAAATTTCTCTTTAAAATCGCGGGAAGAAAAAAAAAAATAAAAAAAAATTGGTTTTAGTTTTGTCGTAGTATCAGCCGTCGTCCGCCGTATTAGGGGGTTCTGGCTTGTCTTCATAACCCATCGAATGAATCTCTAATCAGATCATTCCTCCCTAATTGATTCCTTTTCCGCAAAAATGATAGCCGCACCATGAATTCAAATCTAGATACACAGTCATTCATACCACGAACACCATGCAGCATGATCTGTCACTAATGACAGCCCAAATGAGTCGTGCTCGATATAGACATCGATAAAGCCTCGCATCACTTTCATACCCGTTGCAACCACTACTACACATACATCTTCGCACCCTTCTCTTCATTCACTAGTCCGATACGAAGGAGATAGAGAAAATTCCCGCTCAAGAATGGCAAGAGTAAGCAGCTTGGACAATGCAGTCAGTCAGTCAGTCAGTCAATCGGTCAGTCGGTCAGTCAGTCAGTCGGTCGGTCAGTCAATGCATTCACTCCCAGCCAAGATCGCCAAACTCTCCACTCAGCAAGGACAGACCCCCAAAAAGGGCGCAGGAAAAAGAGGTCCCTATCCAGTCATGCTCCATACCCATACCCGTACACCAACCCCCCGGCTCAAAGACCCAGATCCGTGACGAACGCATGGGACAATCAATCAGGACCGGAGAGATCGATCGACACACACCCGCCTATATTGTAGTCTCATTGCCGCACAGTGAGTGAGTGAACCGTGCCTACTTCCGACACCGTGTGAGAACTGAGCCGGGCGTCGATAGTGAGGGTTTGGGCCGGCGCGAGTGTTGTCAACCGAGTGCAATTAATCTTGGCGGCAGCTCTCCACGTGATTAGGGTCTGCCGTAACGTAACGTAACGGTCTCCAAACTTCCTCAACTCCGCCCAACGCCGGAAAGTTTATGGGATCGGTCTCCATGACTAGTTGGAATTTTGCACCCGGATGACCAACCGCCCGTGCTTTGTTCGGGTATGGTGCGGGATAAATCGTCGCGGGGGGGTGGAGCCGGGCGAGGACTCGGGTGCTTGTGGGATGGTGTAGCGATCGTTGGTACGGGCCTCTGCTAGCATCTGATCTATTCGATCTTTGGAATATCGCGTATATGATTCGACGTTCGGGCTTCTATGTTGAGACACACATCCCAGTTCCTATCCGACTGACGGAATCCGCGCTGGATGTACGATCGGATGTTGGTGGGAAAGAACACGATTCCAGGCCAGCACAGGGTAACGGGGTTGAAGACTTGGCGACGTGAGACGCACGGCAGAAGGTTTGGGCTTGGATCTAAGCTAGCGGTACTATGGCTCTAGAGGTCTTTGGAGAGCTGAGTACCTGTCGGCAGCAGTTAAGTCGATGCGTGGGATGATGTTCGCTCTTTGTTGGCGTGGTCGAGGACATGACGGCGTTGGTACCCGGCTACGTGGAAGAAGCAGCGTGTTTTTCGAAAGTGGGCTGTTAGGCTAGTCTTTGACAGATGAGAGGATCGCACAGAGCTGCTGGGAGGAGCACTAGGAGCGAAGGAATCTGTTGGGTTGGTGGGTACATGGGAGGTCGTTTTCGATGGTTGGGAGTTTCTAAGAGAAGATGTTTATTCGTTGCGGATTGGGAGACGGGTGCGGGTAGTACGGTTCCATCGGTGCCACTCGTGCTTTGTGGTGAGTGAATGCCTGTATGATGTGACAAGTGAAGCCTGTTTGAGTGGAACGCAGCTTTTTTTTAGAACTGTTGAGGGTTCGGCTGCTTGGGTCTTAGTCACTTTCATCTTTGAGTACGCATGAGGATCCTGGAGAAGGAGCGTCAAATTACGCAAGTATTACAACAGTTCGATCTTGGTCTACTTAGTGTCATTTATTGGCTTCTCATCCATAGCCCCATCATCGCTCTGCCGTGTGAAATATCAATATCGCTAACCCATATCCTTTGGAGTAGAAAGAGGCGCTGTTTTGGAAGTCGCCCGCCGTATTCGCTCAGGGGCAGAGGGTGATGACAAATAGATAGGTTCGGGAGTGAGTGGCAAAGGCGCAATTTGCCTCTCCAACTGGAATCTCTCCGACTTCACCACAGGATGCGGTGAGCGATCCCACCCACCGTTCAAGGAAGAGATCCTTTTTGGATAAGGATCTGCGGTGTTTGCAAAGGCTTGCAGTGGCTTCAATGGATACGCATTCCGGCCGCCTTTCTCGACGTCATTCTCCTCCACCCGTCCATTCAGGCTTTGATATAGAGTACATAGACCAGGTAGATTCCAGAAAGGCGAGCGTGGACTGCTGACTGCCCCACCACTGCCGGAGGATGTCTTTGTTTTCGAGGCCGAAGACTTAGTATGGCTTGTGACGACGGCCACGCTGCGGGTGATCAAAGGACGCATAGTCGGCAGGCACGCTCCGATAATCGCACAGCAGGATTCAACTGTACTCCAGACGTTGATGCCGAAACTGTCGTAGGTCAGGTCTGTGAGGCTCCAATTCGTCGCGAGGACCTGATGGATGCGGATGACTGAAGTTGCGCAGACACTGTCGTTATCAGCGAGGCTGTGTGCGATACACGGACGGTAGTGGGGGTCAACGTACAAAGCGCCGAGAAGAAAAATGCCTGTCAGGGACACCTTGACTCTCCTGCTAACGTGCAGTCGCCAAACCATAGGAACGGGGAGCAGAAGAAACACAAGGTCCAGTATGAGATTGCTGATCCCTGTGCCTAGCGCTGCGTCTCTGATATTCTGGCACCTTGCATTTTTAATGCTCTTATCCCAGGATGCCTGCACAGGTACGCATTGAAATATGGTATCCCAGAATGAAGCCGTCCACCATATCATGACCAGGGCGCCAGCAGCTAATAGGGCGATTCGGAACGGCTTGTTGACACTGAAGAGTCGATGATAGAGCAGCAGTAGCGAGATCTTTGTCAGTGTTTGTGCACAATAGTACAGTACCTGGGTCGCCAAAAGTGTCTTTGCAAAAGACACCAGCTGCCATGGCTTTATCAGCTCGATATGTCTACCGAAATTGAGATCGGCCGTTTGGTGGAGTACGACCGCTGAAAGGCCCCATTCGACAAAGAGAGCGGCCAAAATTGTCCAGTCATCCCACCAGAGAACCGCCTTGACCAGTCGCCTGCATAAGAAGCGGAGGGCGACAGCAACAGTACAGAGCACGGAGACGGTGATCACCGCCGCGTATATGGCTGGCACACGGCTCTGCGCCAGGAAAGAAGGTGACAGATTTGGAGGGGGACCATGCACTGTTGGTGATGACATCTTTTTTGTTGGTGAAGAGAAGCGCCGAGCGAGACTGCAGCGAAGTATAATTGGGATTTGCAAATTGCATGGCGGGGGGAAAGGTGATATGCATGGAGGAAGCTGCAGTCGGTCTGAGAGAAGACCACGAGGGGCTCCGACTAAGGGCACGGACCGTATACTTGGAGCCAGGTTACTTCATATCAGAGGCCCATGGATTTATCATTGGAATCATCCCATTGGTTCAGTTTGCTGTCAGGTGTGACAAACAGCGAGAAAGAGGGTCAGTGCTTCCACCTTACACGGGACCTCCATTCGGCCGTACGAGCCTTGTTTGACATAGCTTGTTTCAATCTTTGATCCATAGAGTGGTCGTCTCCGCCATGAGAATCTGCGGGGTTCCAAGGGATCTTCGATTGACCAAGTCTTGCACACTAAAAGACCTTCACCTTTCCTTGAAACTAACGCTGTTCGAGAATCTTTACATATATCTCCGTCAGTCTATCGTCAGCGACAACGTATGTTATACGAGATATACTGTTTGAAAAGTAAGTAAGAAAGAAAGCAGGAAAGAAAGAGGGGGAGATGTTTTCCAACATGATTCTGTCTACCATATATGAAACGGCGGCGCTTGTCAAGAAAATTCACGAGCTTTTCTTTACTCTCGGTAAACCTTCCCTCCTCGGAACACTGCCAAGAGCCCAAGACTGTCCGACATTTCGAGCTAGTGATCGAAGATCTTGAAACGCTCAATGCATTCTTCAGCGCTCATCCAAATCCCCATCACCACCGCATATCCATAAACCGTGACTCCTATTTCCCATGGCCCCTGCTCTAGAACAGCCACCCCAAAACCCGAAAGGCAGATACCTTCCCCACCCCAAAACCTCACCTCACCTCGCCAGCGCCCCCGTCCCCTGCAAATGCAAAGACCCATCCCCCCATCTTTCTCAAAGACATCGAAAAATATCTCCACCCCATCATACACTCCCGGGAACCAAGACAGCCCCCTCAACGCCCGTCGCCAAGCGTACCACTCCATCTCTCTGCCCGGATGCAGCAGCAGCACCAGAGAGCTAGCCCTATCGTCATCGTACCATCGCTCCTCCGTGCCGATGAGTTCCTCGCTCTCATCTATGTGGTCATTCGCTTCCCGGAGAGCCTGTGAGACTACGGCGTCGATGGAGGTTTTGGGCAGGAGGGGCCCGTAGTGGTAGAATTGGACGACGAAGTCTGCGGCGTCCGGGACGTGAGGATTGGTGCCGGATATGTACAGATGACTGCTAATACAAAGAACGCTAGCGCTGTGCTCGCAGAATAGAACAATCAAAAGACAGTAAGCCTACCAAAAACCTTGATAGCCTATGCCAAAAACACAATACTGGTTTTGTACAATGATGGACCAGATAGTTCAGATCCGTCGCTACAGATGCTAAAGGAAGGAAGGAAACACATCGGGCTTGCCAACGAGCCTCAGCTCAAAATCGATGCAAAAGTGCGACTGAAAGTAGATGCAAATTTAAAGAGGACGAGAGTAGAAGAGTTAAGTATCGTAGAGAGTGATAACAGATGTGTTAGTATGCTAAGTCCAAGTCGAGGAAACCAGCGCGAAAATAGAATAATAATAGTTGTCAAAGGAGTGATGTATGTATGCCAATGTGTCTAGATGGGATAAACGAATACAACGATCAGAAAAGAGAGACCAAGAAAGTTGAAGCGAACCTACCAAGGCGCCCATTGAGCTGAAAGGCCTGCCGGGTAACCATGCTGGCAAACGCTTTCACAAATTCATCGACCTCGAATTCCAAAAGAAACCAGCCCAAATCATCTTCCAGAATTTTTCTAAACCTCTATTTCCGACACCGTAACTGCGACCTTCAACGTTGGGTCATCGTTGCTGGGTCGCGAAGCTTCCATATGCACCCAGTACTCATCACATTGCGAGGGATGGTCGTTCAATGGGGAACAGCTCCTCGGTTGAGATCTTTCTATTCCTGGAGAGGAATCTGGTGCAGGTGACTCTGGTGCCGGTAATACTTTCTGGTTAGAGGTGTTGGGTTTGCCGCCTCGCTTCTTGCTGAGCACGAAGAATGACGAAGGAAGGATGTGGAGGAAGAGCGGGCGGAAGGTCGGGAGGCAGGCGGCTATTATGTAGTTGGCGGACTCGTTGACAGTCCAGATTGTCCAGGCTGTGGAGTTGTCTGGTTGGCGCTTAGTACGGGTGTTGCTTGGAGAGTTTGACATCCATGTGAGCGAAGGGGGTGGGGGACTTACGGGCATCATTGCTTCGCAAGAGAATGCTAAGGCGGGCACAGCTCGCAACGAACCCACTAGTCCTTGGTTAATCCAGCGAGAAGTTGAGTTCACTGATTGAGGCTTACATGATTCCGTGCAGGAATGTTGCGGTCAAAGCAATCTTTCCTGAAACATTGGGATTCAATCTCCACACCAGAGGAATTGGTATGATCAGCATGATGGCCCCTGTGATGACGTTTGAATCTGCAATATATCTAGCAAAAGGCAACTTCATCGATGCATTTTCCACCGTGAATGGAATTGTTCCATTCGTAGGCAACGGGAGAACATTGGAGGATAGTCACGAATTCATTGACTATACCAGTCGCGACGACAACAAAGCCGATCAGATAGGTCTCGACAGTAAAGTCTCTGTTGCGAGTGGTGAAAACACGGACATAGAGTAAGAGGATTGCGCATTTGGATAGTGCGATTGAGAGAGGTCATAAACGACCATCCATGCCACAAAAATCTCATCAAGCGTCAGGAATAAATCAAGAGGTATATGTTTGAGCTCACCTGGCCAAGAAGCTTGCCTTCGGATGATTCTTTCATCTAAATTTTTCCAATGTGGGCTCCAATACCCGCTATCCGTGGGACTGGGCTAAGTGGATCAGTCTCCCCCCGGGACAAAGAATCCGGTCCGGTCTCGATAGAAACTTACAGGCAATGGCAAGAACACAAAGTCCGAAAGTAAGCGTCGTTGCCAGTAAAAGCACGTAGTCGTCCGCGCCGAAGCTGACCTTTCGTAATTTCCGCGAAACAAGTCGTTCTCCCACCATTGGGAGTTCCATTACGATCAAGAGTACGGTAACAATGACGACCTTGAGCCCACCATGGCCGTAGGAGGTGACATTCACAAATGGACCCATTGAGCAGCTGAAGGTAGAAAAGGAGTCTCAAAATCAGTTATTCTTCAAGGCGGTCCTAGATCGCTCCAGCATAAACTGCGTACATGGCACGGAGCAGGGCAACGCTGCGAACTCATCAAGTCTTAAAGGACTTTCGTGGAGGGTATACGGGCGGGTCGCTAACTGCATTGAATCATCGGGGTATCTCGGACTGCGATCTCAAGCCGTGCTGTATGCGAGTAAAAAGCCCTCAATTTCGGCCCGCTCTAGTCGATATGTGAGCTCAGTCAATTCAGGGACAGACTGCAATCGATGCATAAAATGGTGGGCTATGATGGATAGTCGGACCGTTAGCATACGGATTCTTGCTGCATTGATGGACTGCAGGTAGCTTGCAGTACCTGAGAGATCGATGTACCTCGGCCTTGTCGTTATTGTCCGTGCAGTCACTGTCCTTTAAATGTTTTCTCACCTTGATGACCTCACGAATATTTGATCTTCCCCACCCCTCGAGGGTTCTTACATTCTTGTCATCATTTTTTCTACATGACATCTCACGATCGTCTTCATCAAATCGGGATATCGTTTTGAAAGCAAAAAAGGAGGCGCAGATTCCTGGAATTCCGACTCTTGATAGTGTTTCAAGTGCGTGGTCAAGGTGCATTACAGTATGCGGTGACAGCGAATCTCATGCAGGCGGGATCCACTCATTGATGGAAGGCCGTGAAGACGGGATGCATCGAATGAAAATCTTGCGCATGGAACAAAGGGATTAATTGCCGGAGATTGATTGGCAGCCCACCTAAAAGTGGCCAATCAGTTCTTATGCCCCTCAGTGAAATGGTTTCTGCATTCTGACTCCTTTTCAACCCGGGATTTTGAGGATCAACACAGCGGGGCCGTGCCGTTCCCTCAAAGTCGTATTGGTGAGGGACGAGCTAAGTGCGTGGCACAGTCACTGATTGACTTGATCATATTTAGACGAGATTCGCGAAGTCGACGGGAATAGGCCAGCGTTGAAACATCTTAGAGGCGTGAAGGCCTACGGAGGTCGGCACCAACAGTCCAGGGCGTGAAGATCTCAAGGCCTGGAGGGTTACCTGAACACTACTCCGTAATGCGCCTAGAGTTGCTTCGGAATTGTAACAGGCCTGAGGATAGCTACTCATCCTGCTAGTGATCTCTTCCGTTACGATGCCCTTGAATCTTCCAAGGCCAGCATTCTCATAATGAAGACTGCGTTCATGAGACGTAAGAGGTCAGGAAGTTGACGGTTGTGGTAGGAAGTCTAACATCTAGAGCGAAGATCGAACATCGCGCACTGGGACTTACGCAGCGATCTTGTTAGATATATTGATTATATATTGATTATACAAGCAATACAGGCAGGAACTATGGCCGGCTTGGCTTGCCAAGAAGACTTATCCTAATTTCCATACTCAAATATACTCAATAGTAGACATAAATTCAGAAAAGGTAAAAGTAAAAGAGTCGAGTATTAGGGGAAGAGATAATAGATGCATGAATATATCAAATTTACATCGAGAAAATAAACGTAGAAATAAAGTAACAGTAGTCAACGTAGTGCCGAACAATATTAATGTATCTAGATTGAACAGAGGATGTAGTCGAATAGAAAAGAAAGACCAAGAGAGTGGAAGCGAGCGTGCCAACGCGCCCATCAAGTGCAAGGACCCACCGAGAGTACCCACAAGCCAAAGGAGTGCAAGAAGACCTGCCAACGGGCCCCGTGGCGTCAAAGAACCACGCAAGTAACAAAGCGAAAGAGTGTGAAGAAGCATGCCAACGTGCCCAGACCGCGCACCGGAACCAAAAAGAGTGAACCATCGAGCAAGCCAGCATGCTCTCGGAAGGGACCAGCCCCGTAAGCAACCGGAAAAAGACCGAATACACGCACCCCAGCGGACCATCCAGTACGGAGCGCCCAAACTAAGCCCCCCCAACCACCCCATGCGGATGACGCAACCCACGCCTCTCCACGGACCCAACCGTCAACGGCTCCAACCCCACCCCCCTCTTCTTCCCCCCCACAGCACTACCCCCCCAATCCACGCCACTCACCCTCCCCAGCGCGGGCGCGTACCCCAGCGCCTGGAACAGCTCCACATTGACGTCGATGCTCCCGTCCGCGCACCCCATGCACGTATCCACAATCTTGACGTTCTCGACCGCGATGTGGGCGTCCGGGTTGTAGATGGTGATGGTGGTGCCGCAGAGGGGGTTGGCGTTGGGGTTGGCGGCGTTGTTCATCTGGAGGTGGGAGATGGCGACGATGTTCTCGCCGGGGGCGGCGGCGATGTTGCACGAGGAGAATTGGGCGACGGCGGCGGGGGTGTAGAAGGTTAGGTCGCCGGAGTAGGCGGTGGCGAGGGGGATGGAGATGGTGAGGGCGGAGAGGGCGAGGGTGCGGGCTTTCATTTTGGGGAGCGGGGGTGGGTCGATGGGGTCTGGAGTGTGGTTTGGAGTGTGAATGGTTTCTTGGTTAGATATTCGTATGCGTTGATGATGCTGTCTGTTTGGAATTTTATTCTGGGGTGTGAGAGTTCTTTATGAAAGAAAAGGTCCTGATGGCAAAACAAGAGGGCAGTATATATGGTGATGTATGGGAATGCAAAGATGGCGAAGGGGAAGGGAGGCTTTCAGGGTGATACATAAACAATGATGATACTGATCCTATGTTCTGCCTTTGTTCAGGTACAGAAGTACGAAAATGAGACAATAGGAAGCGCAAGCCTGAAGGCGAAGACAAAGGCAGCGCAAAGAGAGCACTGAAAGCAAGTCATTGGGCCTCAACAAAGAGAATGGAAGCATCAAGCGATTATGAAACAATGAACGGGAACATGTTGCCATTGTACAGTCCTACAATATTGTATGGCTCCGACGGAATTACGTCACCAAAAAGTGCAGAGCTTGATGGCGAAGTGAGAAGACAGGATCCATAGTGTGCAGAAAGGGAGTCATCAGACCTCAACATGGAACATGGGGCATCAGGCTGTAAAAGTAGGTTCCTGGATCTGTTTCAACAGTACAGCGCCAGGTTATCCTATGACTCTGATGGCGAAATACATTTTTGTAACACGGAGATGGGTGGCAGAGCCGCGCGGGAGCCTCACCCAATGGTACTCTGAAATGAAGTCCGGGATGTGCGTCGCGCTTCTGTGAAACCTTCTGACTCGAAGAGAATAGAATATGACCTCGGCGCCGGAGATAGGTAGCCGGAGTGTATGTCAAACAACAGCGGGGTCTGATTGGAGAGATGCGCGACGCTTGTTTAAGGCTTGCAACTTAAGTTGTAATGAATGGAGTTTCCCTGTCCCCAACCAGGAAGTAGCAGTACTAGTCAGCAGTAAGTGGGATCTGATTCGGGCAATGTGCCATTGTTTCGAGGAAATATACGAGGCAATACAGGTTCCAATCAAGGAGTGTTGGTGATCTTATTACGGATTCGAGATTGATGACATCGACATCGACAGGAAACATATGCGTCCGCGGTATAAATATCATGCAGTAGCAGTCACCGAACTGGCTTTGCAAAGGTCCCCGTCATGCATAATGCTCCCTGGTGAAGGAGCGAAGTTGAGCGAACTCATTAAGCAGGGCGGACCGAAAGCAAACTGAAAAGGTCGTCTGACGGTGGCTTGAAAGGCGCGAATTCAAAATGGAACAGTCGTATCGCATCCAAATCGTGAGGCTCAGGTCAGGTGGTTGTAAGATTCTCCCCCTTATGTAGCTCGTTTCGTTGCATTGGCTGACCTGCGGACCGAACAGCCACTTAATCAGCTTTGCGCATCCGGAGCTCTAACAAATGGAACATGAAAAGTCGAGAGCGGATGCTACCTTCATAGAGAAAACGATCGTTCTAGGGCAACAAGGCGGACTGACCTACTCTATAAATCACTTCATGAGGTTCTCTGGCCAACCATTCTCAAGATATCGCCCAAAAGGTCTCCTCCATCCTTGATTATGAGGTCTCCAAATGCGGGATCCCTAATCAGCATACCCATCTCGTAGCCCACATACTGCGTCACCAAGTTCCGGACGTCCTCCACGCCCTCTCTCAGTTTGCGGGTGTTGGCGTAGACATATCGCAGAAGCGCAATGATGTCTCCAGTACGCTCGGGGTACAGAGTATGGATGGCTAGTGTTGCATGAAGCTCTTCCAAGGCTAAGACTCTGAGCGGTTGGATATCGTACGCATCAGCGAAGACGTAAAGCTGCACGTGTGAGAGGAACACATCTGTATAATCCTCCTCTGGATGGTGGTTGGGGCGAGGAGGAGGAATTTCAACAGCACTTTGGCGGACGGTGTATCTGCGGCTGATAAAGGACTCTTTGAGCCCCCCTTTCTGATCTAACCGGTCAAAATGGATTACTTTTTTCACCTTCTTTCCTTTCTTGTAGGATGACGCCAGTGGAGCATCCCAGGACATCGGTTCCGGCTCCGGTTCCGCTTCGATGACCGGTGCAAAGTCAAAGTTCTCCTCGGATGCAAGTCTGATCGTCTCTCCTGGAAAGTCAGCCTCCTGGGTTGTAGGGACAACTTCATCGTGATTCTGATTCCCAGATGTGCGTGATGACCGAGCCTCATCAGTCGTGAACTCGGCGGCGGTGTAATACCCTTTGTGAGCCCATTCGATGAATCGAACAAAGGTACCCTCATCAACATCCTCTAGAGTGGCGAAACCCTTTTGAGCTTCTGCCATCGGAGCATGAATCATACGGTCCAGAGGCTTAGAGTGGAGAGAGACGAGATCAGAGTGGATATAGAGGGGCTCGCCTTCGACGATGAACTTAAAGGGGGCTGAGGCGTAGACACTGCTGAGACGAGTCAGGGAACGTTTTAGGCCAAAGGGTGGAAACGGCGTACCTTCTGCTCTGGGCTGCCATCTTGAGTGTCAAGAGTATATTGAAGTTCGACGAAGTGGTCGGACAAAAAACGCAACCAAGATGCTTGGTCACAAGTCAGTAGTTGAGGATCGACAACCTTGGACAAGACTGCAGGGTTGGTGATTGTGCAGAGGGAGAAGCAGCGGTGAGACAGAGGGTAGGCGAGGTGGGGTGTCCTGCATCGGCGTGTTCTCTTTCCGGCATCTTGCAGCAACGAATGACGAAGCCCACTCCCAGTGTGTGGTGATGGGCGACTTTCGAGCTGCGCGCATCCAAGAGAAGAAGTAGCTGGAACAGTCCCCTTTGGAGCCGCACTGACTAGGGTGCAGGAAAATGGAATCGTTGTCAAGGTTGACCATAGAACAGCTGAAGAGAAGCCTTCTGGCAAGCAGTACTCGCTTCCGACTGAGGTCCTTCAAAGGGTCTCAGCAACAAGGACAAGCCGTTGTGGACTGAGCTTAGAGGCGAATAATACAAACTTCAGGTCTTCTGGATTTTTAGGAATGGACTTTATCGCAGGGCATTCGAACACCTTGCTCAGTCTCTCATGCAGTCCGCGGCAGATATCTGGACTTGCGCAAGTGTCTTTCCCCACCCTTTGCTACGAGCACTTTCGCTCATAACATCAATCCAACCACTATTGCCCCTACCAAGCCTGCGTATGCCATAGATACTCCTGCACGAATGTTTCCAGCCACACTCTTCGATGTACCTCCTCCTATACCATCTGTACCCGTCTGTTCCGGCGCCGGACTCTTCGCGCTCCAAGTTACGCCAGCTGAATGATTCTGCACGCTGATAGCGAATATATTGCTGAACACCGGATTATTGTTGTTCTTTGTAAAGCTCGAACCGTTCGAGGCATTGAAAATGTCGAAATCTTGAAGGATGAGCTGGCAAGGGCTGTATTCCTGGAAAGTCGCAAGTTCAAGGAGGTAACTGGATTCGTTGGCTAGAGCGAAGCTAGTGAGGTTGGATCCGTAGTCTGGTCGGCGGCTGGCGTCTGCCATTGGTAGCCCTATTAGCGAGGGTTCAGGAAGGCGGAAGGTAACAAGTGAATACATACATATGGGGCTGGTTGTAGCATTTCGGATCCAGCACTCAATTGAGAGACTTGGCGGGTGGTGGGGAGCAATTGAGGTCCAGGAGACGTCGATGCTGTCTTTGTAGGATGCGAGGATGGTTTGGTCGGTTGCGTAGGTGGGATAAGTAAAGTTGTATTCCTGATAGATAGAGGGGCTCTCGGAGGCATAGTTGGGTGATACGGTGGTTTGTGAGGATGCGAAGCTTGCACTGTGGAGGAGGAGGAAGAGGATCGCTGTGGCGGATGGTTTCCGGGGAGAAGGCATGGTAGCTGGTTGTAGAGTCTCACTGCCTCTGGAATGGTTTAGCTATTGTATAAGAGGAAATGTAGACGTTGCTACTATTAGGGTCAGGAAAGTCAGGAGTTGCAGCACTGAGAAGGGAGACAGAGATGACAGGATTCCATGTGTGGAATCCTTTTGAAGACATATCAGACGGTTCGAGGTCACGCTAGCTAGGGCCGCCCCAACAGCGACCCGTTGCACCACAAGACAAACTAGTCTTTGTATCGCCTCAATTGTTGGTCGAGAGAGTAGGCTATGTCGCCGTCACAGGATTCGGAGAGTTGATGCTCCGGGATGAGAATGGCAAAGCTTAGAAGCCTGTCTGGTTCGTCCCCGCAGGATACACGAGCCCATTATTGGTTGCAAAGGGCCGAGATATCTTCCCTCGCTCATACAACGTTGTGGGCGTTGTGGTTCTCAGCGCCGTGAAACGTTTCAGAGTGCGAAGGATTCTCATGGTGGGCCCATTGTTTGGAAGGCTGAGTGCGCTTACCGCTTGTGGACTAGTTTCACAGCAGCCGCTACTTGACCAAGCGCGGCTAAATTTAGATGCCTGTCCCATATCTCCAAGATCTCTTCGAACATCCAACGCGTTGTCGAAATCTTGCTTTGATTGCCATTCTGACCTCGCACAATGACGAGACCTTGTCTCAATAAGGTGATGAGATTGGGCGATGCACAACTTTCTCGACCAATCTAAGATCCTTCTTCGCCGGGTCTCCCTTTGCTTGCGTACGAGCCCATCGTGATGCTCTTCCCTTATAATCGTTTCCACCCCCATTTGCACGTTACCCCCATTTGCACGCTCTTAAAACCGATAAATCCGACGCAACACCAAAATGCCTACCTTTCACCAAATTTGTATGGCAAACTAGCACAATAATAATGGTCTTCTATTTCTATCCAGGCTTAAGATCGGAGAACCCAAATCACCGTTTTTTGGGCCTTATCGGCCTATCATATCTTGAAAAAACTATCACTACCTCTTCTTCTACCTCTTCTACCTCTTCTTCTACTACCTCCTCTTCTACTACCTTCTTACCTCTTTTATCTCTTCTACCGCTTTCACCTTTTCCACCTCTTCCACCTCTTCCACCTTTTCCATCTTATTGCGGTGAAGCCTCTAATGGAGCCTCCGGTAGAGCCGGTAGAGCCCGCCACTGTGGCGGAGCAGCTCCTCGTCTATCTCGCTGTTGTTGCTGTGATAGAGCGAGATTTAGTGGTATCAGTGGGCCTGGTGTGGGAGGTGCAGTAGCCTTTTTCCTGACAGGACTTCTACCTCTCTTCGTGTCTTCAAAAATAGCTGGTCCGAGGTGACACCTACTATGCCAGGCCTACAGATGGCGACTATGGTAGACTATGGTGGTAGGCCATTTGAATGAGTGGTAGTGGTAGCCATGGTGCCATGGTAGTGATAGCTATCTATGTCGGATTTATCGGATTTAAGAGCGTGCAAATGGGGGTAACGTGCAAATGGGGGTGGAAACGATTATGCGCAACAGGGCAGCCTCCAGGGGAGAAAGCACGCAAGCTATTTTCCGGGGGTGGTAGGGTAGATGCTGCGTTTGTTGTCTGTTGAAAAAGCAGAGCATAATCCAATCTGACGAATTCTTGAAGTAGAATGAACAAGGGTACAAGGAGAAGTCTCATTGGGAGTCAAGAAGATAAGAATACGCTCCCACTACTACTCTCTACCCTCGATGTCGTGGTAGTCAAGTTTGCAGAATTTGCGGCCCCGGTACCACACGTTTCGAAGCTTTGCACTTGAGATTCTGGCTCAAATCAGCCTTCATTACAGTTTTGTAATCTTGCCTTCGCATGTTCTCGAATCCTTCGGTGCTTTTGCCGTCATTTGTCTGACACTCCTTGAATGAACATTTCGTTTCTTCGTTGGTGTTGCAATAGTGAGAAGCAGAGAAATCATCCCATTGGTCGAACCACCGAGACTGTCATCGTGCGATCTGTAGGAGCGGCTATGCAGCCATCCGCTCGAGATCTAAAAATTCCCAGCCCCCGGGTCTTCGAGAGTCGATCAAGTTACCATATGTTGAGCGGTAGGATCACAGTACGAATTGTGCTTCCTGCACAGATCAATCTACCTGTCCTTTGTTCTGGTAAGATGTCATGATAAATGTTAACCTGAGTCTCTTTTGTCTGCATAGGACCCGTGCAACTATCGATCATACCAGAGACAGATACGCCTTCCACTTGTCGATCAGGTAGTCGCTGAATCGCAAAGCCTTAGATCGGATGGGGTCCGTGCAAACACAGGCTAGCCTCCGCGGCCCCCAACAACCCACCAGCCTCTTCCTCCCGCAGCTACAATGTGTTGCAAATTTTTGAAACACTATCTAGTATCACCTTGGGGGTAGGATTTCAATCTGCTCAGCCTTGAACAGCATTGGAGTAAACACGATGTTGCAACAACTTCACCCATTTCGGTGCAAGAAAACAATGTGTATAAAGTCGGTCGACCGCCACACACATCGATTGAAAAACTATCTTTTCTCAGAAGCTCCAATCATTAACCACTCATCCATCCAAGCATAACATCAACCGCACATCGAGATACTTCTCTAGGCTCGTAGCCATTTACCACATACGTCCCTCGCTGTCCAGTCATGCATCGACTCCTTCTATTCCTTGGTTATGCACTAGCAGCCCAAGCAGCGAATCCACTTCTTACGAAAAGACAGAGCGGAACTACTGGGGGTGAGCCAGGCATCAACGCATGCCTGGATCCAGAAAACTCAGCTCCAAACACGGTATGGCAGCCCAGCAAGCGTAGTCTAATCCACAAACAATTTTGCTGATGGAAAAGTCAGAAATCGACAACATGTACCCCCAAGTATACAATGGACGCACAAGGAGACTGTGGTCCGCTAACATACGATAATTCTGTAAGTCAGTTCCTAAGCTCTTTGATAAATTCCCAGCCAACATCCGCTCCAGTGCAGAGCATACTGCCAAGTCAGTGTCCAGTGGAGCTACGGTGTCGAAACACCGTTCAACCGCACTTTCTGCCAGAACGACGATCCAGTCTGCTCGATCACAAGCACTTCGACTTCGACGGTCACAAACTCGGTCAGTTTCAACGTTGGCGTCACTCTGGGAACTAAGAGAGGTCTAGAAGGACGAGGAGAAAGCTCGGGACCATCTCTGGGAGATCTGACAGCAACGTTCAATGCCGGCGCTACGTGGACGTATGCCACCTCGTACGCTCAAGCGATTGCAGTTGACTCTGAGAGACCACCTTTGAGCCAGCAGAAGTGCGGGTGAGTAGAAATCATAGTCTCTATACTTCTGGTGGCTGACAGCCGACTAGATACTGGACTTTCATCCCATATTACGTTACGTAAGTGCCCTACTCCTTACTCCCAGTACCGTTGTCATCTACTGACCAACATGCAGCTCGTGCGGCAGTATCACCGTCGGCGACTGGACCACTTCCTCATCCGGCGAAGTGACGACCGGCGGCGCAGATGTCACAGCCGGCTGCACCAACATCAAAACCACCGGCGACTGGTGCCAAACGGTGCCCATGACCGATGCCCACGGGACCCCCTTAGGAGAAACTATATTCGTGGCCGCAAGCTGCTGTGCTCACTGGCCCATTGGTTGGTGTCGCCAGGAATCAGTTTACCTGATCGAAGGCGTGAGCAACAATGCCACGATTTACAACGATTACAAGATCGCGCATACGAACTACGATATGACTCAGCCGATTGAGAGTTACTCAAACATCACCTGTATGGCGGGTGAGTCGCCGTACAATGAGGATAATGGACCAAGTGGGAACCCTGCTGGTCCGGCCTGTGCGCCAAATGATGTAGGGGCTTGAGCAACAATCTCGACATACCTCCGCAAGAATTACGAGGTCACAATACGAATAGCATAACGCCGCACCCTTCTTTTTCCTGGCATCCACGTCAAACAGCTCTCAAGCTGGAGCCTTACTCCCTGCTTGAAAAGGCATTCATCTGCGCCTTTCAGAACCAGTCGACCTAGCCAGCACCCATCATCAGCAACACCACAGTCCGGTAAAGCGTCTTAGATACCCACTTGTGCCAATAGAGAACCCTTTAGTCTTGCATTGATTGAGTCTTTTGGTGGAGTCCAGCGCTACGATCCATTCTGTATAACAGTGCATTGTTCGGCGTTTGACGTTCTTGGAATGGAGGTTACGAGGGTATTCCTCCGGTACATATATGTATGTATCACCCAGCGCATATAGCAGTCATTTTCAACACCTTATCAGAACTTGATGTTCCCAGCCTGCAGGGACTGCAATACTCCAAGCGCCTCAACTACTGCCTATCAAAACAAATCCCGCTGATCCACAATATCGCGCTTAGATCAGAAAGACAGCCGTACAAGCGAAGCGTGGGCTCTTAATATATTCTTGCAACGCGCGTACCGACTTTGACATCAGTAACTGTTGTCAACTTCGTAGGCGTCATGTTTGAAGCCAAAGTAGTAGGCATTTCCCTCCTCTCCCTCCTCTCCGCCGCTATTCTCTCCCCACCCTCAATCCCTTTCAACAATGCCCCGCCACTCCCACAAACACTCTCTCCCCCACTCCTCCCCAGCAACATCACCCACCCACCCAGCAACACCACCTCCAACGTCCTCCGCATCCAATGCGACGGCACGCGCTACGGCCGCAACCTCAGCCCCGGCAGCTGCCGCAACGTATTCCACCACATCGGCAAATCGGACGCGCAGTCCACATTCGCGGAACGGCACACCGGCCGACCGAACGACGTGCCGCTGCCGTGGCGCATCTTGAGCGACGACGGGCGTTGCTTCGTGCAGCCGCTGCTGCTGATAGCGGCGGCGACCGGCCACGCGAGTTCGACGCAGATGGTTCAGGCGGCTTATACGCTGTTTCAGACGTGCGTGGTTGCCAGGGGGCTTGGAGGTATTGCTGCTGATATCGGTACGTCTATTCTTATCTGACGAGTCTTCATGACATCCTCTACCCCCTTGCGAGACATCTCGAAGGGGTGTTTTTGGGACTTTCATTAAGAGCTCCCCCACTAGGTGGCGACAATCACCTCAGCGTGGTCATCGCAGACTACGCACCCAACGTCCGCTGCGACAGAACCGCCACCCCAGGCCCGCCGTGGATGTCCTGCCTCGTCATCGTGTCGGACATGGCAGCGACGAAAGATCGAAAGGTGTTTGGGGACAAGAGCCGAGATCCGCGCGTTGAGGTTAACCTGCCGTACTTTTTCAAAGCCAGTGAGTGAGATCCGTCTGCTGCTTACTTCCGGTCTTCGCTTGCGTGAGAAAAGCACTGATGTCGTTTGCCGTTTCCTGTTGAACAGTCGACGCGAGGTGCCAGGCTTCGGTCGAGAGTAACGGAAAGTCAACGAGTGCCACTTGGTATGAGATATGGGAAGCCATGGCTGCGTTGTCTTCCATGTGCGTTCGGGCTCAGGGTAAGGGTGGGAAAGCCTTCGGTCTGGGTAAGTGCTCGGTAAGTGTTCGCCCTGAAGGAAAGGAACTGAGCAGAGGTTTTAGGCCTTCGGAAGAACATATTCATCCAGATCTCCGACGAACATCCAGATCTGAGTCGGCCTGCTGCAAACGTTGCCAATGTCTCTGCATCGGCTGCTTTGTTGGGTCTCGAGGCGTCCAACGCTTACTTCGAATTGAACGAGCCAAAATGGGCACCTAGTCCCTCTGTTGAGGTTTCAACTGATATCTTGCAAGGCAGTAGCTCCTCAGTTGTGGTTCGTGGTGATGTCAATTCAGATAGTTCAGAAGACTGATTGGGGTGATCTCTCCATTTGTGGTCGATCTTCCACTAAAGTAGGCCGCTGATTGGTAACGGTCAACCGGCTGGACTCCTGTCACCGAAAGGTGTGCATAGTCATGTGGAGGTACTCGTCTTCTCTCGGTAGCAGTGCCAGATTAATCCTTTGTTCATCATATTGTCAGGTGCAGATCTGTTCAAGAGAGTTAGATTAGACATCTGCAAAAGATCGTTTGCGGGCAGCTGGTACCAACTCTTAAGCAGCTTCGAAGTATAATACAGTGCCTTTGTCTTTGCATCCCTCATTCAAATATGCGAATACTCCTTGGGGGCGAGCCTTGTAAGGTTCAACGCACCGAAAGACACTAGGGACGAGTGTGTACACGAGGGCGGCTAGCACAAGAGTGGATCCTATCCACAATCGACGCATTTGATAGGTGACAAATCATGGGCCCGAAAAGTGCGGTGGTACGTGCCGCCAAAGAAGCGTACGAGGTCGCCCGGGACTCCGATCAAGTGTACCTACGGGTTGCATACTCCAGCTGGATTCGGACGGTGCAATATTGGGGCTAGTACGGGTAGCAATCATGGGCATGCGTCAAGAAGCACCTGTTCTTTTCAATATTCCTGAATAGTAAGTCAAAATGACCTGATAAGGCTGGGTAATCTTTTCATAGAAACTTGCGTCACCATGCATAGTCGTCCCCCACCATAGCCTTGTGTTCCAAAAGCCAGCTGTTCTTTTCAGCATCGTGCTCTGTTCATCAAATCCAAGTTCTCGCGCCTTGAAAGTATCTTCTTCGTATCTATAGCTTTCTTGAGCTCGCATCAACAGAATCGAATCTTTGAAAATGGAGATGGAGTCTTTGCATTCACGTACCCCGGACCACACTGAGACGGCTGAGCCTGGGTCCTCTCGCGAATCACTAGCATACAAAGATGCGCAGGTCTGGAAAGACCTCAAAACTGAGACTGGCTTTGCTTCCTGCACGGATTATATGGAGTTCTACAAGAAGGTTCGCCCTGATTTCGAAGACCGGCTACAGCAATTCCGAGAGTTGCCAGGACATGCGTTGATTAATTGGCTCCGATCGTCATCTACGACCTGTCAAAGCATGAGAACCTCCGGAGTAGCCTGAGCCTTCGTCGCGATTGTTACTCAGGAACTGCGCTCATCCAAGCTCTACGTGAACCACCAGGAAATGTTTGTACGCAACTCGTGCTTTGGTCATTGAATGCCGGTGGGCTCAAGACGTTGGACCAGGAAATGGCGGAAGCTTTGATCTTGGGATTGAAGTTAGATCCCCAGCTTCTAGCAGATTATGATCGCTTGGCGAGGGAGGACCATCACCCTCGCAGCAAGGGTTTACTTACTTCTCAAATCAAGAGTGTAGTAACCAACTATACCGTCACTACTCTGTCACAAAAATTTATGCCTGAAGTAGCGAACGCGGTCCCTGTCCTGCTAGTAGCATTTCGACACTATGGTTACGGACGCCTTTACGGAGGCCTTTCGGCCGAAGACATCCTTGCTAAAAGTGACCAAGGAAAACCACCATTTCATATATCATCTGTTGAAGAGAGCAGGGGAACAGAAGATGATAATGAGACAAAAATAGGGCAACTCTATGCCAGAAGTGTGGAAACTTTCATGGCGCAAGGTCGACTTGCCACTCCAAGCCTACTGCTGGCGGCTACGTCGCCTCTGCTTTCTATCGAGGCTTACCGGGTACAAGACGCATCCGATGACCTTCAAGGTACATACGATAAACTCGCAAAGCACAGAATCTGGCGCTGGGATATCTCAGACACGTACCATAGGCACTTAGACAAGAATCTAGACATACAGCGTCTAAACTTACGTCGGATTTTGGAGGAAGGTGAGACCCACGTGAGCCAAATTCTCAGGTACCTGCTCTCTGAAGTCGACTTCGACTGGTCCGAAGAGCCTTCGTACGTGAGTATCAAGGCAGATTGGAGAAGTCTCATTGATGAAGCGCGTCGTTTGGAAGCCGAAGTCCGAGACTATATGCAACTTCAAGTTGGGAATCTGTCCTTAGAGGAATCGCGGAGATCCATTGAATTATCAAATATCCAAATTCGTGAATCCCAAAGTGGTAAGTTTTGAATGAATTCTTGATAGACTCACGCTAACATTTCGTAGTAAAAATCTGTCAGTACAGGAAGATGTATTAAAAAGATGAAGTGTGTTAACAATGTCTTAGTCACAATACTCGCCTTTGTATACGTGCCTCTCAATCTTGCGACTTCCATATTCGGTATGAATATTCAACAACTGAATCACAACGGACAAAATCTTTGGGTCTTCTTTGTGACGGCCGTTGTAGCCTTGTTGGTCACAGGTGGCTCCTGGGTATGCTCAAAAAAAGCCATGGCATGGTACAAGGAACGGGCAGCAGTCAGTAGAGCATACGCAAAGAAGGAGGGAAAGCAGGAGTATGGATTGCTGCTTCGCATGGCCATGTTGGTATGGCTCGTGCGCAATGGGCACACGGCCTGGATGTGGAAGTCAGGAGCCTGGTTAGCCATTCTAATGAACAGCAAGACCCCTGGTGAAACAACATACGCGAGGAATCTTGTAAAGCCAGCATGTATCTATGTTTCGGAATACAGTCGGTGAGCGCGATAAGGACAGGTTCAATTATGATAACCCTTATTTCTGGTCTCCTTTATCAGGGTAATCTTATCTTTCCACACTCAGCTATTGCAGTCACTGACCAAAATCTATTAGATTTCGATCGTGGTTCTCTAGATCGAGGAATCCCGAGCGTGAACTTCCCCCGCCTAACCGACTCCGCTCAAGCGCATCTCGCAACAGTTCGCAACAGTGGGACTATGGGTTCGTGGGTCCATTATAAGGCCATAGCGTTAGTGGCTTTTAATCAGCCGTCCCATTACTATGCGATATGCGATATGCGATATACGATATACGATATATAGAAGACAGATAAACATAGCGAGTATTATTTATATAGTTACTACATCTATAATAGACTCTTTATTAGAGCCATATTATTATTCTTTTTTTATAGTTAAGTTTATATATATTAGCCTTTATTTAACTACTATAAATACTATTTAACTATTAAAAATATATTTTATACTCTTATATACTTTATAATAGCTTCGCTATTACTACTAGATTTAAAAAAGCGATTAAATATATTATCTTCGTCTTTAAAATTATTAAAAAGATCTTTAACGTAGTTAATAAGATTAATAAAATCTCTAAGACTAAAAAGACTAAAAATGTTATTAAGATTAAAATATCTTTTTCTCGCGAGGAGATTCTTATATATGAAATATTATCGAGTATTATAAGCTCGAATTAAATTAATAAAACGCCTCTATCTACTATTAAAGTAGATCTTTAAGAATTAATAGCTTAACTATTTAAGGTCTAAGAGAAGCGAAATTATCGCTATTCTTACGAGGATAGGATATATAAGTTACGTCGTCATTATCGCTATTATAATTATAATTATTATTATTATTATTCGAATATATCGAATTCGAACTTATCTAACTCTAAGTCAGACTAAAAGAAAAGAAGAGAAATTCTCTTTTATTACTTTAAAGAGTAAGAAACTCTTTCTTAATATTACTAAAAGATTTTAAAGTATAAATATTAAATACTTTAAGTAAATCTTCTTCGAGATTTTTAAGACTTATTTTTTTTTATTAAACTAGCTTATATATATACTATTTCTATTAAGAAGAATAAGGATATTAATAGCTATAATTATATAATATACTATTTTTATATATACTTAATAGCCGCTAGTCGCTTTACGTATATAAGCGTAAAGAAAAACTTAAATAAGACTTTATATATATATACTATTTATCTATTACGACTATCTATTATCTATAGATTTAACTTTATTCTTACTTATTATCTCGCCTTTATTATTATATATATTTAAAATAATTAAGATAATTTTAAGATCTAGAAAGCGAATAATTAGAGCTATAAAGATCTTCTTATATTTAAAAGAATTTATATAAATAATAATAAGTTAAATATCGATAAGTCTAGCTCTAATAAGCTCGTTATCGCTAAAAAAATTAGAATTTATAAGAATTTTAATAGAGATAGCTATTTTCGCGAGTGCTATATCTATTTATATATCTATATAATCTATTAATAAAACTATTTATTAAATAAGTATTTTAAAGCTTAAAATTTAGCTATAAATAGTTTTAATTATTTATTATTAAATAATTATATTATTAAAATAGAATAACTTTTAAAATACTTATAAATACTTTAATCGCTATAATATATATTTAAGAAGTTTCTATATACGCTATATAATTTATTAAACTTAAATTTATTTTATTAAAAACTATTAATAATTAATAATTAGTTTAAATAATTAAATAATTATTTAAATCTAATATTTATTAAAATTATTTCGACTATTCTTTAAAAAGATATTAAGATAGATTTTTAAGACTATATCTTAATTTATTATAATTAAAATTATTTATTAATATATTAAGTATTCTAGATACTATTAATAAATCTTTAAAAATAGCTTTAATAATATTATTTAATTAAAATTAATTCTTAAAATAAGCTATAATACGTCTATTTATCGCTTAATTTAATATTAAAATATAATAGAGATTAAAGATAAATTTATAATCTCTTATTCTTATATAATTATTTAATTAATAATAATATTTAAACGAAGTAGAGCGTATTAGAATATATTATATATAATAACGTAGTAAAAATATTATTATAGAAAGATTTAGTAATCTAATTCGTTAAAAGAGATTTTAAAAACGTTTTTAGATATATATTTATCGCTATATTAAATTAATAATTATTTGATTTTAATTATAATAAATACTATTAAAAAGAATAATATCTATTATTTAAATTACGTATATTATTATTTCTATTTAATCTCTTTATAAAGACTTTTATTTAAATTTTAATTATAATTTTTTTATAAAAAGTAATACTTTATTACTTAAATAATTTCTTTATAATTCTTTTATTAAATAATAATATAATTATATATATCTAGTAATTTAATTAATTATATAATAAATTAAGCTTTTAAATTAATTATATAAAGAATATTATAAATTTTATAATTAAATTTCTAGAAATTAAATTTAATAATATTTATATAAAGATAAGACTTCTCTTAAATAAGCTAGCTAAGATAAGAATTACGATTAAAAATCTTCTAAAAAAAAATTATCTTATATTAAAAGCTCGAGTTAATAATTAACTTTCTCTCTTTTATTATTAAAATTATAATTTTAAAAAGAATATTCTTAAAATAACTTTTTAATACTCTTTAAAGATTTATAATAATTATATAAATTATAAATAATATAAAAGTAAACTTATTATAATAAAATATCTTTTTAAAATATTAAAATAGCGTTATCTTAATATATTATATTAATAATTAAATTATATAATATATATAAATTAATATATTTAGAAAATTCGATATAAGAGATTATATTCTAAATTATTCTAATTATATTTAATTAATTTAATTGAAAGATATTTTTAATATTAAAATAGCTATATATTATTATTTTAAAGATATATAATTTAAAGAAATAAAGATTATTTATTATATAATAGAGCTATAACTATATTAATTATAAGAATCTTACTTAATTCTCTATTACGATAACGACGCGTACGTTAATAAATTATATAAATTCTTTATATATAAGCTAGTTATAGCCTTATTATATAGTATAGCTATATTAATAATTATTTATAATATTATAATAATATTTATTTAAATATCTATAAAGATTAACTAGCTAGTCGATAATCTATTATATTTTTAATATTAAAAAATCGTTAATATATATTTATAGCTAAAAGATTTTATATCTTCGCTAAAATAAGATAGAATTTATTAGAATATTAATATAATTAAATTATACTACTTTAAGAAATTATATAACTTCTCTAATAAGGGTTTACTATTAAAATTAAAAAGATATATATAACTTTAATAAGATTTTATATTATCTATTACGTATTTATAAAGATTTAATCTCTCTTTTTAATAACTATAAATACTTTTATAGATTAAATTATTAATCTAAGTACTTATCGCGTTAAGTCGAAATCTATAAAGATATATCTTATTAATTTTAGATTAGTCTATATAAATATAAAGTTTAATAATCTCTTAATATTTTATTATTTTTAATTATAATATATTATTATAAATAATCGATATCTTTATAGCAAAGCTAATACGAAAGAAAGATATTTAATTATTAAGAATTTATTACTTTAAATTCTTTCTTATTTCGATAAATTAATCTATACTAAAGCGACTCTATATATCTTCTTTTATCTTATCTTCGCGATATTTCTATATATAAATAAGTTTATTTATAATAAGTAAAATTTTTAATAGAAGAACTTCGATAAATAGTTTCTTATATATTACTCGATAAGACTATTCGATAATTATCTAAAACTTATACTTTTAATATCTAAAACGAACTTATTTTATCGTAATATTATATTTATAATAGTTATATTAGACGATAATATATATATAGTTAAAGTCTTATATTATTTCTTTAGATAAATTTTTTTATTTAATATATCGCTATTTTAGCTAGAAAGCTTTTTCTTTACTAGAAAAATTATTATTAATAATCTTCGCGAGATATTAATATTACTTAATATTAAGAATTATTATTTAAAATTTTTTTTTTATAAAGAAGCTATAATATTAGTATATAACGTTAATCTTAATAATAATAAGATTTAATTATTTAATTATTAAAAGTTAGATTTCTATTATTTATATATTATTATAATATTAATATCTATTAATTTATTTATATTAATACTATTGATTTCTATTACTTACTACGATAAATATTATTAGAAGTTTTTTTTAAGATCTTTACTCTCTTTAAATAACGTTTTAAATTATTTAAGAGTTTTTCTAGCGCTAAAAGATCTTTTTTAGATTATTTATATATCTTGAAAGATTTTAATTATTCTAATATTAAATATATCTAAATATATATTTATATATTTTTATATATATATATTATTTTCTATATAATCTTATTATTTATAAATACTAATTATAATAATAAAATTATAAATTAATAGATTTATTATAAGATTATAGCGATAGTAGCTATTTAATTAGTCGTTTTATTATTATACGATATATATACGATATACGATATACGATAATAAGAAGATAGATAAATATAGCGAGTATTACTTATATAGCTACTATATCTATAATAAACTCTTTATCTAAATTATTCTCTTTTAAAGCTATATTATTATTCTCTCTTTTATTTATATCTATATATAGCTATAGCTTTATTTTTACTCTAAGATATATTACTTAGATATAGAAGTTTTTCTAGCGCTAGAGAGCCTTTTTTAGATTATTTATATATCTAGAAAGATCTTAGTTACTCTAGTGTTAGATATACTTAAGCATATATCTATATATCTACTTATATATACGTTATTTTCTATATAATCTTACTATTTACGAGTATTAAGAAACTATAAATTAGTAAGTTTATTATGAGACTATAGCGTTAATAACTATTTAATTAGCCGTTTTATTATTATAC